AGCCCAAATTGTTGAACACTGCTATGGAGTTTCCGTAGCCGTAGGCCTACAGTTGTATCTTTTTATATATTTCAGCTGTGAAAGATGTGTTCAAATTCTACCTGGCCAACGGTATGGATTCCCGTGCCAAGCGTTCTGACTTCATCATTTTAGGAGTGGTTTTCTTGATGTTTGGCACATGCTTTGGAGCCGAGTTCATGATAATGTTCCTCATGAATAAGCCACTTTGCTGGAGTTCGACAAAGATTGGATATGTCTATACATTCCAGGTAGTTAAATGTGTTGAATTTGAAATTCCCCCCTTTTTTTTTCTTGGTCCCACTTCCTTTCATGGAGTTTTGTGTTAAATTTATTTCAGTTTTTGATAGTTTTCGTTTGATCCTGAAAAGTTTTTCTCTCTAAATTAAGATCATGACATCAAGAGAAGTTGTAAAAAAAAAGGGTTAAATTTTATGCTTTCTGATAGGACTATTTCTTTCAGGCTTTTTTAATGCCCAACAAAATGGGTATTTTTTTTCCAAATCACACGTCCTCTTTTCCTTCAAAATTTCAAAATAATAAGTGCTTTGTGAAATTTACTTTAGGGGTGATTGATTTTATTCCCCCCAATACATTTTGAGGTTTCTATTTCAGCTTTTTTCTTAGCCTTTGATTTTCCTTATCACTCTTTTTGCCCGAACTGCTGTTCTCAAAAGCTGGATCTACTTTACAATTACTTGTTCAGTACTTTAATACAGCTGTTGACCTAATCAATGTAATTTAGGTTATTTAGGAGGTGGGCTTCAACCCTGCCTTTCAGGGCTAACCGGGGCTGAGAGGGATAAAACATTCTATTAGCAGAAAGACCAGGATAGTTTTTAAAATTCTCCCCAACTGGGAATAGAACTCAGGTCTCCTGTGTGTGATGGTGAAGCTCCTCACTTCTAAACCACAGATGCCTGTTGAAAGACTTTTGTCTTACCTCTCTTTTCTGCCACAGTTTGTCAATATTGCTTGGATGAAGATGCATGGTGGGCGTTTTTAAAATGACAATTCTGAAGTTAATAATAAGGGAATGTAGCTGTACTCTGTCTGTTCTGGCAATAAAATATTTTGTCATTGATTGTCAAAGTTAATTATGCTATTTTCATTCTTTTTATTTATTTATTTTTATTTTAAGCATTTTTTAAACATAAAAAATTGTTTTTCATTGTCATTTAATATGTCTTTAGACTGAGTGTCTTTTTATTTATTTAGTCTGTTATTGTATTGGAAAGTGTTAACTATTTTGCACAAGCTGAATGTCCAACTCTATAATTGAAATACAGGGCAATGTATTTTTAGAAAATGTGAATCAAGAATGAAAATCTGAATAATTTCTTTCTGAACAAGATTTGATGATAGTAAGGATGTAAAGATGGGTTGGTGGATGCCTTAAGTCTTCCTCACAAAATTATCTAAGAGTATGGCTATTTTTTTTCCTCAGGGCATTCTGCAGGGGTTTTCTTCCCTCATCCTGCTGCCTGTATTTCAGAAGTTTATCAGTGACGAGTTCATCTGTGCCTTGGCTTTACTGTCGGGTGCTGCGGGAAAAATTGTGCTGGCGTTTGCGGTTGATGATTGGATGGTTTATTTAGGTCAGTAATGTGTCGGGAGCCAACATGGATGGGATACATTCCTGCTTAAAGTTAAAAACATGATACTTACTAAAAATACGTATATGAGGCTTCATGAATAAGAAATGCTAAAACCAAGAGAGAAGCCTGCGCTTTCACCTGGGGAATCTCAGATACTTACAATGTGCCAAGCTTTTCTGTACTAGAATTGATCTCATTGGTCACAGCAGAAACCACAAGTCATCGTAACCTTTAGTTCTTCAAATTCTTCAATTTCTCTAGAGAAATATTCTCCTCTGCGGATGTGTTGGTCGTCATTAGATGTTGACGGACGGGCTATTATTAGTATTAATATTATCATTGTTATTATTATTACTTAATAAAATGTTTAAAATATCTTCCTCACTTGGGAATTGAATCGTGTCTTTTGTGTGTAAGGCAAAGAATAGGGCCTCTTCACCACAAACACTCTCGTTTTCTTCGAGGAGTTTGGTTGTTGGGAAGGATAAAAAACAAAAATGCACTTTCTATGATTCAGCACAGTAGACAGAGCTCTAGACTGACACTGATCAATGTCTAATTAACTGAAGATGCTATTGTGGTAGAAGCGTTGACCAAGCGGCTAAAGAACTGAAGATGTTGTTGTGAATGAGAAGTTGGGCTGTCGAAAGTTAAAGAAAGATTTTCATTATTAGTGAGAACCCCTTGAAAATGTGTGAAGGAGCAAGTTGATGTATTCATGTGTGAGCCTTTCATGTTTTTTTTCCCTCTCGAGCAGCATTTGTCCTGGGCATGCTAGAGCTTCTGGCTATACCGATGATTCGAGGGATTCTGTCCAGAATGTCCTCGAAGGAGAAAAGAGGTGAGTTGTAGATAGAAGTGTTCTTTTCATGATTGTGAGTTTAACTGTGAGTTCAGCAGAGCGGCCCCTCTATATTGCTCCCTTTTGTTACATCACTTTCCACTCTTTTTTCCTTACCACTTATATTTCAACCCTTTTTTCTGGGGTCATTCAATAGTAATTTTTATTCTGAACATCTTTTTGCCACATTTAGGGGTTTTATGAAATTTAGATATTCCTTTATTAACTTTTGTGAGGCCACCCGTGAGGTCACGAAGTGGTCACAAATTATTTGCGTCCAGAGTCAAAATTATCTGCGAGCTGAATCAGGCACTCCATACTCAGAACAGTTCCATACTCAGGACAGCAGTAGGTAAAATTTAAAGGATGTAGAATTTTACAACTTCACAAGAGAAATTTAATGACACAAGTGGTACCAGATTGTTGTTTTGTTTTTTGTTTTAGTAGAGGTTTTACGACGCTCGCAACTGCATAAGGTCATATGAGCACCAGAAGATTAGAGGTGTTACAAGAGAGTAACAAACATAAAAAAGAAGAAGGGGAGAAAAGGACGATAGATGTTTGATAGGAAAGAAGGAGCAAACCACACCAGAGCACCCGCCAACCACCCATTGTTTGAACAATGGATCTTGTGTTGTCCTTTTTTTGTGGTTGTGGTTTTGGTCTTTTTTTTTTTTGTTGTACAAAGTGAGGTAGTCAGGAAAACATTGCTGAATCTAGAGAAAAGTTGACCAAATGCAAAGTTATTGGCCTGAATGGGTGTGATGTTGGAACCTGTAAAAATTTACTTAGTGTATGCATTAGGGCCGTGTGTGTGTGTGTGAGGGGGGGGGGGGGGGGGGTTGGTTTAAAACAATAAATTGGCAGTATTGGTTGTATGACCTTCTCTCAGCTTTTGAGCGTATAGCTCCATCAGCCTAAATGTTAGGTTTACACCACCGCATACAATCCTAAGTTATGCTTTTGTTTTGAAGAAAGGAAAAATTAGTATGCGTTAAAGTCTGCAGGGTTAAATTAGTTTTCAATAACTTTAAAATTTTGCTCATAATTTATATTTCTGTCACTAGTCATTACTCTTGAATTTTTTGTCTAGTGTCCTGATTGTGGTGCTAATATTTGTAGGTTTATGTATGTAAAAATGGGCCTACATGGTGCAAATTGATAATTATGCTTCAAGAAAAACAAAACAAGAAAAAAAGAAACTGTTTGGTCTGTGGTGATGTTGATGATGATTACTCTTGAATTATCAATACAGGGTCTCTATTTGCCAGCATCGCAGTGATTGAAGTGGTCACCTACGGCTTGTCTGGCTTCGGTATGAACATGCTGTACTCTGCCACCGTGGCCATCTGGCACGGCTTGGCCTACAGTGTCATCAGTGGGTGTATCCTGGTGTCCAGTGTCCTCATGGGGTGAGTAGGACCTCACTTACTTATTGTTCTGCACTTAAACACTTTGCAGTCACTTGCCGCAATAGTGCGACAGTGAAAATGATCCATTCCAGTCACTAAACGCAGATCTGGGACAGGCATGAGAAGTCTGTTGCAGTCATTCTCCTGGCTTGGTGATAAGATGGGGTATTTTGTACTGCTGGCTGTGTGACTGCAAAGTGCTAACCTTCAACTTTTCACATATTTTCACCTTTGTGCTAAGCTTTCTTTATGAAGTCAATTTTATTTAACCATGTTCCCTCCTACCCCAAGTGTCTTTTTCCTAAGTTAATCATGGCATATAGGACGCATGTGCGGATAAGGAGCAGGTAAACTTGAGAACCAAAGTTTGGTATGCATCATTATGCTCATCGTATAAGACACCCCTGCTTTCTCATGGCAAAGAATAAATCCATGTTTTCTCAAATAATCTCCCTTTTCACTATATAAATACATGTCCCTTCAAAAGTAACTGATGTTTCATGTGTTCACCAGAGTTTCCAATTTCATGGATAAATCTGGAAATACAGATTTCTGAAATTGTCAGGATTTTAACTGACTCTTGCATGTTATTGATACAAAATGAATTAGATAAGACCATCCTTAAATTTTGAGTTCCGATGTGCAAATTTCCACGGGTCTTAAAAGTTTTGTATTTTCTTCGGAGCTGATGAAATCTCTGATTCACTCTTCTCTTTATTAATGCCCTGTTTCTTGGAATGCTTATTCAGCAAATCTAAACTGGTTGCCGTTTAATAAACTTCTTTGTAAGTGACCTGTCTCTTCTTTGAAGCACATTGCTTTTAAAATGCCCATTGTTTCCCCTTACTCATATCTTTTCATGTGTGGCTGACTTGTCCATAGAAGTGCTTCACCTCTAAAATACCCATCGTTTTATGAACTCCTATCCTCTTTGTTTCATAAACTCTTTTCCCTTCTGTATAACTGTGTTATGTCAAAAATTCTCTGAATATCCATACATTCCCTGTCAATGAAGGGTAGTTGTAAAATGTCAGGAGCTGTTGGATTTAGATTTCTTTTTGTCATGCACTTAGCTGTTAGAGCCTATGTCAGGGTGAGTGCTTTACTTAGTTCTGTCCTGCTGCTTTAAACCTTTGACGTCCTGGGAGATGCTGCTGTTGTCCCAATTCTGTTCATGTTATTAACCCTATCCGTACGCTCTGAGGTCATTTTGTACCCCCGGGTTTGTATTCTTCACATTTTAGAATACTTCTAGTTTGAAGATCTCTTTGAAACTTTCAGTATTTCTCAAAAAATCATTTTGACAGACTACTATTCAAAGTGTACGGATCAGATTAATGATTAAATTTCCTCTTTGGAAAGTGGTATAACAACAGAGTTCCCCATGTCGTACAGATACGATAGTAAAACACGACATACAGATAGGGTTAACACTGTAGTCTCTGAGTATGAACCCTTTAGTGTATTGCAAGAAGGTTGAGGATGGATTCATTACCTCTGTTATTTTTGTCTTGTCTATCTGTCTTGCTTTTTTTCCCCCCTGGATTAAATGACTTTTATAGCTTTGATGTGCATCTCTTTATCCTTAGGAAAATTCTAGAAGGAGGTGTTGGAATATTTAATTCTTCTCTGTTAAAGGTCATTTACTTGTGTTGTTGAGCATTCTTGGTTTGCCATTGTTTTAATTAACGCTTTTGTCTTTTTGTGGCCTTGAGCTGTGCACAGTTACTATTTATTCTTGTTCACAACATAGCCCACTATTATATTTCCTTCTTTAACTGGTGATTGCTTTTTTGTTGATGAACTTCTAATCAACTACTGAACAGATATATATTTCGATGTTCGTGTGGTTGTGTCGACATTGTGCAACATTTTTCTGAAGCTTAAGTAATTTTTATGACTGTATAATATGTCCCTCTAATGAAGGCTCTGGCTGCTTTAGAATAACTCTCCTTGCTGACCAGATCTTTCCATGTTACCATCTTAGCGCCCCCCCCCCCCCACCACCCCCATCCCTCCAGGTGACATGTAGTGAAGTTCTGTTAATTTTTTTACATAAATCTTTACCACTATTGTTCTTTGTCAATTTCCCATTTGCTAAAGTGAAAATAGAATAATAAGAAAAGTACTTTTCTGAGGGCTACATTTTCTTTCAACGAAGATGGGAATTGGAAAAGTTAGTCCTGTCTTGTATAACAAGTGCACTCAGAACCTGAATAATGTACAGAAAAACAGAAAGTAATATTGTAAAGAAAAATTAAGAAAGAAAAAGTTTGTGCAAAAATTATGAAGTTGCTTAAGCTTATTTTTTGGAGGGGGATCTAAACGATTTTTTGTTGTGGCCTGCCCTTTCACTGACCACTAGGAGCTACGCTGTCATCGTTCACCGACGTGCGGCCGGACGGGAGAGCTTTGTCACCGTGGAGGTTGTACATGAAGGTGAAGGTGGAGGTGATGATGAAGGCGAAGGTGGAGGTGATGGCACTGGTGATGGGACAGAAGACGGCGCGCCAAGTAGAGAAAGAGATGGCGGAGATTAATGTGGAGTCTCCTTTTTATTTATTTATGGTCTGTCCATTGACGACTTGGGAGGGATTTCTGGAAAAGCGTCAACAAGCGTCAACTTTCACCTCTCTGTGTCCTCTCTGTGTAAATGTTTTCTTCTGTTTTCTTCAAGGATTCTCCTCACTTATTTTTATTTGTTTGTTTGTTTAGTTTAATTATTTATTTTTTCATTTATCTGTCTATTTATTTTTCTTTTAAAAAATGTAAGACCAGTTTGTCTACTCTTTATTTAAAGTTTTGCATGACTGAAGTGTCTCATGTCTCCACAGGTGTTCATCCGAACTCGAGTCATAAAAATCTAGTCTTTTTGCAAACTCAAACTATTTTGGTATTGTCTAAGCTTGGTATACAGTTGGAAGTGACAATGCCTTTTAGCTCCTTTTTTAAAATGACTTCTTCTCTGCTCCACTTTTGTGGCCTAATTAATGTACAACGGAACACTATTACTCATTGTTTTTTTTCATGTTTTATGGGCAGCCTTATACTCACAGTATTCAAAGTCCTGTGATTCTTTCTGCTGTAAAATAACAGATAGATATGGACGAAACCAATATGTGGACATTTTGAAATTGGAACTGTGTGAAGTCAATACTTTTAATCGTCGCCAAAACATGCTGCCTACACTATTCAGCTTTTGTAAATCCCTCCTTTTACTTTACATATATACAATTCATTTTTATATGCTGTATTTATTTGTAATTTTTACAAAGGCTTTTCAATGGACTGCTTGAGTTAAATGGCTTATGTTTTGTGTTTCTCCTGTCTTCCTGACGTATTGTGTGGATTGTTTCATGATTCCAGATACAAGCAAAAGATGGAGTATTAGATGTATGTGTCACACCGCGGTGGAATCGGGTGCTTGTTATTTTGGTTTGGGCATGTGAAGTTACTGAAATAGTCTGAAATCCTGTCTGTTTGCTTTGCTTTTTTTTTTTTTTAGAAAGCAAAAAAACAACAACACTGCTTTTGATGAAAAAATACCTATCTGCCCTGAACAGAAGTTGAGATATTTGCGATTGAAGGAGGTGAGGATCGCTTGGTGTCAGAGGTAAAATTAGAGAGAAAATGGCCGCCATGGTTAGTTTTTGATAAGAATTGCTCAACAGGAGTAAACATGTCGATTTATGCGATTTTATTATTTTGAGGAGAGCCTGATTTCACCACGATGACACACATATAGAACATATCGTTGACCAAACTCAGAGGTAGAGTCTAAGGTTAATGGGGTGATAATAGCAACCGAGAGTAGGAAGGATAAAGGTGGAGTAATTTAAAAATAGCTTGTTCAGTTTGAGTATTTGTTAATGCAGGTACTTGAATAAAAATGAAAATATGATTAGAAAATGAGACACTTTTCACATGAAGTTATATACCAAGAGCATAAGATTAGTGCCTCTTTCTGGGGGGGGGTGGGGGATAGTGAAGATTTATTTCATATGAGAAGGTATGAAAGCTCATAGAGTGGCTGTTTTTGCAACTTAATAGGGTGGGTTTTTTCAAATATTCTCATTATTTTTTCAACAGCTTAACCAACACACTGTTGACAGGAAAGGTTATTATTATTTTTTTTTTTTTTAAACATTTAATTTTTTTTTCAACAGCTTGACCAACACAGTGTTAGGTCTTTGGCATTGCCAAGAGTGGTGAACGGGAAAGAAAAAGAGGGTATCGCAATTGAAAACCTGCTGTTATTCAGTATGGGGATATTTATATTGTGCTGAAACTTTGAGAAGTGAGACTTTAGTAGTTTGCAGGTCTGCTGATTTTTTTTTTTTTTTAAATGTCGACACTCAAGATTTATATAGTAGCCTACCTTCAGAGAAACCTGTTCATGTCTAATTTAGCCTAAACCCCCAAACAAACGAAAGCATCTATTTGCTTGTTTTCTACTTAAAGTGAGCTTTTCCTGATCTCAGAATAAAACATACATATTTTTGCATTTTGTTTTATGTGTCCTATATACTTTTTTTGTCTACTTCAGTCTTTTCAGACTATAATGTATACTCATTTGATTTTCATTCCCCCCCCCCCCCCCCCCCCCCCAAATTACCTCATGATGTTTACTTATTCTACTCAGATAAACGAAGTATGTATAAAATACCTTGTAATTAATTTTATTGAGTGTGACTGTGTGTGTGTGTGTGTGTGTGTGTCTATACAGTATTTATGTGTGTGTACAGTATTTGTGTGTGTGTGTGTGTGTGTGTGTGTGTGTGTACAGTTCTTATGTGTGTGTGTGTGTGTGTGTGTGTATGTGTGTGTGTGTGTGAGTGTGATTGGTGGGGGCTCGCAGGCTGGCTTTCATTGATATTAATATTTTCATTTTTATTATTAGTTTACTGAATTTATTCTTTTACTATATTGGGTATATATTCATAAGTCATTTTACAAACCTATTTAGAATCAAAAGTAGGAAACACAATTCTTCAATTTATGTGTTGTTCCATCATGTAATGGAAAGAAGGGTGGGCTTTCATGTATGGCCTTCTACCAATCGTTTTTTCTTAGTACACTTTACATGTTTTTTGTCTTATTTTTTTAGGGACTTTTTATTGTCTGTGGACTTTTGCTTAACAATGAGAAAAATGTCATTGCAAACAATGATTTGTGGGTGGTTGGCAGGTGCTCTGGTGTGGTATGCTTCATGTTTCAATCCTTATCTCTCTTCTTCTTTTCTTTGTAGGCTACTCTCTAATAACATCTCTTATCCTCGGCACTTTTACGACCTATTTGCATTGCAAGTACTGTAAAAACCTCCCCAAAACTAAAAGTAAAAAAACATAATCAGGGGCACACTGTTGGCGCAGTCTGTATAATTATACCGGACTGTGTGTGTTTGGGGAAGGGGAGGGGAAAGGGGGTCTTAACCCTGGTTTAAACTCCGAACGGAACAGGTGGGTTGTGCGGGACTGTTCATGACTCTCTTCAGAATTAACCAATCAGTGAAAGGCGTTGAATTAGAGGCCCTGCATTTGAAATGTGGAATAACAATACTGTGTTGAATCGGCCGTTAAACTGGTCCCATACAGTACCGTATTGTAACGTTACATTAGAATACAGGTTTTTTTATTTCAGCTGCAATAATATTCAGGCCTAACTCTGTCAGGCCTTTTGCTTTCTGTTTGTATTTATACCAGAGTGCTTATTAGGGAACATAACAGGTTTGTTTGTAGACAAAAAGGAGAGAAGAGGACACTTGTACTTAAACTTAAATGCAATGAGAATGCAAAGACTCTTTATTATAATATATGGATGAAGGTGTACTATATCATAGCATATATTGTATGTTTTATGTATAATGCTTTGGTTTTTAAAAATTATGTTGATAGTTGAAGTGGGTGGTTGGTGGGTTTTCTGGTATGGTTTGCTCCCTTCCTATCAAACATCTATCGTCCTTAGCTCTCCTCTTTCTTGTGTGTTTGTTACTGTCTTGTAACGCCTCAAATCTTCGGCACTTATACTTATATGAACCTACTGTGTTGCAAATGCTGTAAAACTGATTAAAACTAAAAACAGTAGTTAAAGTGCATACAAGAATGTAATCCACTGTACGTTGGATCTGTCTCTTCCTGGCTCAGGGATTTGGAAAAGATGTGAAGCAGTGCTAAACACTGTTATTGTAAATGTTTGGTTATCATTTAATATGTCCTCAATCCTGCCTTCCTACTGTCGAAATAACTTATTTATGTGTAGTAGGACATTTTACTTATATTATACAAATCAAAAGTCTTGCCACTTTATATGTCAGATTATATTTTTTTCAAGAAACGTTTTTGCTTCATCTGGAGAGAATAAATGAACATTTTTGACAAATTGCTGTCCTGGTTTGATTCTTTATGGACTTTTTATTATTTTGGGTCTCGCTGTGTGTGTACCTGCTGTCTGTTTTGTTTTTTAAAGTATGGAATAGCACGTTGTACTTATATTGATTCTTCAATTTTTGTCAATTCAAGTGAAGATAGTGTCGTTACAAGAAAGTCATTCTTATGATATTCCTTATGCGCGCGTGCCGGCACAAGAAAGCCATTCTGAGAGTATGTCTCCTTATGCGCTACGCGACGTCGCGTCGTGCGCGGTCCTTGCCGCTCCAATCAAGTAAGATTATAAATAGAACCCGTCTCCTGGCACGCGACGCGACGTCTAGCCGCGTGCAACTGTCGCCTGCCGTCTGTCCATGTAGCGATCGAGACCTCGTCGCGAGGGACAGACTGGGGATGTAACAAATGCCTCACCTTTGGTCAAAATACCTAGCCGATGGGTGCCGGTCGACACTTCGTGTGTGTGTGTGTGTGTGTGTGTGTGTGTGTGTGTGTGTGTGTGTGTGTGTGTGTGTGTGTGTGTGTGTGTGTGTGTGTGTGTGTGATATGGTTGTACAATACGGATACACACCTCGCGACTCATCGCCAGCGAAGGCCAAGCCGCGTCGCGCATAAGGAGGCGTAGGCTAAGAGTGAGTATTCCCAACGAAATGGTGTATGTAATAACATAGGAGGCCTATATCATTATAAGGTTTGAGAAGGAAGTACTTGAAACGTACTTGTTTTGAATGAAGTGCAGGGAACTGTGGTATCCTTGTTGAAGACCAATAAACAATATTTCTGAACCGAAATACAGTAGTCTACATTACTGCTAGTCGTATGCGTTAGTCACCCTCATGTAGGGTCTACCTTTTTAAGAAAGAGCTTTCCAAAGGTGGCACATTAAACATGTTCTTAAGCACAGTAGAATTGTAATTGTAAATGGGCTGATTCATCAATGTCATGCTTATAACTGTGCCTGAACTGTAACAGGGAACTGCTGCTTTTTCTTTCCTATTCCTTACTATCGGCATGCTTCCTCTACTTATTTTGTATGTTTTGAGACCCGCTATTTCCGGGAGGCCTTGATAATCGAAGCAGACTTTGTACTTTGTGCTGTTAAAGCTAGAGAGGTGAGCAGAGTAAGTCTGATTCCCTGAAACTGAAAGGACTTCTCTGTTGGCATC